CGGAGCCTTGGGTGAAGAAGTGTCAGGGGCAAGGCCTCAGGGGTCTGGTTTTCCACCAATAGACATTTGGCAACACTGGTCCCTGCCTGATTAGGTCCCTGATGCGGGAGGGGAGCAGGGACTGAGGGGGCTGCTGGAGTAACCTGGGCAAAGAAGGTTACTGCAGGGGCCTGTTGTGCAGCACTGACCTGTGGTGTCTCCCAACACCCTGCTCAGAGCGCCGCCCCCCTCCTCACCCTTCCCCCTACTCATAGATGTTCAGTGAGGCTCCCCCATTGTCTCCTTCCCCAGAAATGCTGCCACTGCCCCCACAAGCCTCCTCTGGCCCTGCAGGCTTGGGCAGGCCCTGTTTGTCGAGCACGAAGGTGATGATGGGCGCAGACACGAGGAGCAGCAGGACCAGGATGCAGCGGGCAGCCCAGATGGCAGGGGACAAGGCCAGTCCTGTAACATGGAAAGGGACAGGGTGAGGGCTGTGCGTAAAGCAGCATGTGGCCCTGTGGTGCCATCACGAGGCTCAGAGCAGCTGCTGGGTAACAGGGACCCCATGGGAACTCCCATAGACCTCGCTCTATGGAGGGACCACGCTGCAGGGGGCACATTCCACTGAAGTGAGGCCTAAGTGATGGAGGCCATTGGGGTGGTTCCTGCCTTTGCCCAGCACAGAGTCACTCTTGCCCCAGTTTGCTCAGGCTACACCAGGACTCAGTGAAAAGGCCTCACAAGAGCCAGGGACATCCCAGACCCTGTCACCCCTCCCCACAGCAGCATGAGGCCTGGGCACCAGCTGTGTCCTGAGGACAGGGTGGGCTGGTTTGCTGCTGGTGAAGATGCTTTGGGGGGAACCAGGCAAGGAGCCAGTTTTGGGCTCTGATCAGTTCAATCCCCGGGCTCCGTGCTGCCTGGGAACCAGACACTGGTGCTGGACTGCGGTGCTAGCAGAGGGGTTTGCCCACATGCCAGGTGTGACACTCTGGGCCAGGCCTGGAGCACAGAGCGTAACTAGCTAATGACACGGAGACAGAACCTGGGAGCCCAGGTGGGATGATGCGTCTGGTGCCTCCTGCCAGAGCAACCCCCCACCCAGTGAGAGCAGAGGAGGCGACAACTCACTGGCTGCCGGGTTAGCAGAAGGGTCCATGACTCTTACTCATCAAAAGTGTTTGTACTTCTCCCTTTGAATGAGACATTTTTTTGCCCTGCAGATGTTGCCCGGCTCAGCAATGCTGGGCAAAGCCTGGGAGAGCTGCAGGGAGAACGAGCCCGTCACCCTGTTGAGTGGTGGTGCATTTCCTACATCCGTCGTCGTGGTGATCACATTCAGACTGGGGGTGCCCAGCCCAGGACCCACCTTTCCCTAAATACAGACCCCAGGATACAGAAACACTTCAGGACCATTTACCTGGCGGGGAGGAAACCCCGGCACCACCACTGCTGGAGCCGTCACCTAGGCAACAAACAGACAGGAGATCAGAGCAGGCCATGGCCCACTTCAGGCCCCTACGCTGCCCTTGCATAGCCAACCATGGGCAGCCACTGGCTGGGGGCAGGGCTTCTGGAAGGCCCCTGGGCTCAGGCTGGGTCACAGACTGGATCTGAGTCAGCAACATGAGCATGTTCAAGACAGGGGTGAGGAACCTAAGGCTCAGGGGCAACCCAAGGCTCGGGGCTCCCCCTCCAGCATTGGGGAATCAGTGTTGGCACACCAGCCCCTCACTGCCTCCCCAAGGACTGGCCTCCGACTAATTTTTCAGTGGATTAGTGGCCCCTGACCCAAAGAAAAGGTTCTCCACCCCAGTGTAAGACATGGGAGTTCGCTGTTCTGCTCTGCTCAGTGCTGATGAGGCCTCAGCTGCAGCACCAGACCCGTTCTGGGGGTGGCACTTTAGCAAAGAGGTGGAGAAGCCTGAGGGCCAATTGCTCTCAGTCTCCAGGGGCCAATTGCTCTCAGTGCTCACTGGGGGTAGGAGAAGCAGGAACCGGCTTAACGTGCAGCAAGGCAGGATGAGGTGAGATCGTGGGGAAAGTTTCTAGCTCTAGGCTGTGGAATCCCCGGAGAGGTTTAAGAGCCGGTTAGAGAAGCCCCTAACAGGAAATGTCCAGACAACACCTAGTGCCGTCAGGAGCACAGAGGACTGGAGCTATGAGTCTGTGGTTCCAATGGGCGAGTGAAGCCCTGAACAGGCTGTGGAATCCCTGTCACTGGGGTTGATCAAAACAGAAGGGACAACCCCCTGGCAGGTACTTGGTCCTGCCTCAGGTCAGCGGGCTGGACCCAAGGGCGTCTCATGGTCCTTTACAGTGAGACCTTTCCATGGTGTCCCCTCCCCCAGAGCTGTCCCATCCATAGGACGATTTGGGGTGCCTCCCTGACCCAGTGCTGGGTCAAGAGGGTTGCTCAGCAGATGCCTCAACCATCCTATGGATGGGCCAGTGTGGGGTAGCAGCAGGGGTTACCCTGACTCACCCCTTGCACTCATCCTAGCAACAGGAGCTGGAGGAGCCTGGCAGTCTGTCCCACCCAACCTCCATCCCAGACCTCACATCTCCTCCATTCTTATCATGGAAGAGTGTGACCCTCGACCAACTTCCAAAATCTTGGCATGACCCCCCCATCAAAAGTTACCAACTACCCCTGGTCTAGATGGGCCCATTGGTCCCTTCTGGCCTTTACATGTATGACCATGAACATAAACTGCCCTGAACCCTCATGAGAGCAGACTGAGAATGAGTCAGGTTAACGTATGAGGCCAAAAATAACCTTGCAAGAGCGGGTTCTTCAATCCCACATCACAAGGTGTGACACCCCCCCGCCCCACTGAGCTGCTCACTGGGGTCAGGCCTCGGGAGAGCTCACAGATGCGGGGGGAAGTGGAGGTGTCTGCACAGGGGACTCTGCCAATGCTCAGGGTGCTTTCGGCACGTCCTGCGGTTCCTTCGCTGCACGTCTGCACGGAGCAGTCGGATTATGTGTGCAGAGTCGCTGAGCTGGGACCGCTGCTCACACCAGCTCTCCTCTCTCTTCCTCTTCTGAGCAGCAGCCAGACACTCTCGAGCCCTGCAGCCTCTGGCTCCATCTATGTCCCCAGCAAGAGCTTAGGTCTCATTCTGCTCTCTCTGTGCTGGGATTTGGGCCAGCAGGAGTGAGGCAGGATCTAGCCCAGTACAAACAGGGAATGGGATACTGTGAGATCAATTAAACCCCCTGAGGCAGATTTCCCAGCTTGTGTCTCTGAAGTTTTCCCTGTCCCATCCCATCCAGGCTCTTCTCCTTTTTGGATGAAACTGCCCAGGGTCACTGGCCTTCCAGGCAGGTATCCGGTTGGTTCATTGTCACCCAGACTTTTGGGAGGCTGGGGGCTGAAGGGAGGAAGAAAAATCTAATGGCCAGAACAGTGGGCAGCTGCTCTAGAGCCCTGGGTTCAGTCCCTGACTGACCTGCAGACTCTGGTTTTCCTGCAGACTCTGGGGTCAGTTACTGAGTCTCTGTGTGTGCCTCAGTCTCCTCATCTGTGACAGGAGGCTGATTTTCAGAGTGTCTGAGGAACCATTTTAGTGACCATGAGGGGCTCAGATACTCCAGTGACAGGGGATGTACAAGGAAATGGGGAGCGGTGATGGGAAGAGCTGTTTACCTGAGGGCTTCTCTCTACACAGGGGAATTACCTGTGTAATTAAACAGCAACAGCCTCACTGTTGCAACTCCCACAGGGATGCTCATTGTGGGATCTGAGCCTCTCTCCGGTTTACTCACGGATTCTAAAGCCAGAAGAAATCACTGTGGTCATCTAACCTGACCCCCTGTCTCTCACAGGCCAGAGACCTGCCCCAAAGTAAATCCTGTTTGAACTAGAGCTTCTCTTTGAGAAATCATCCTCCCTGGATTTAAAAAATTGTGAATAATGGAGAATTCACCATGGCTTGTGGCATTTCCCATGGATAATGATTCTCAGTGTCCAATATGACATCACTATTATTGCTTTTTCATCAAGGTAAGCTAAACCAGGAAAAGGCATTTACACCAGACCTGGGTGAGCACAGGGACTGACACTGGTGTAACGGGGATAGTGTAAACTCTCCCCTTAGCTGATACCAACTTCCCATGAAGCACCAGAGCAGCAGGGGTTGTGTGGCTCTTGGGGTCAGGTGCTGGGTCTAGTGTCCATCTGCTCTGGGAACAGGTGAGTGGTGCCCACAGCTGCCTCTGTCACCCTGCCGGGAAGTCTGGGGCAGCTGAAAACTGGTCTGGCCGCTCAGCGTCCGCACATGGGTGACTGGGCCAGAGGAGCTTTCTCACAACACTCCCCACAGCTGGCTCTGAGCACCCTGGGTTGCATCTCCCCCGAGGGCCAAGGCTGATGAATTTCAGCATTTAGACACATACGCACACACATGCACACACCCCTTACCAGTGACACTGAGGTGCTGGGCAGGGCTGAGCTGGGATCTGATTGCCCGGCTCTCGCTGTCCTTGATCTCGTAGCCACAGGAGTATTGCCCAGAACTGCCCCTGGACACTAGATGGACATAGTCGTACGTGATCTTCTCCTTCAAACCCATCTGGGACAAAACCTCCTCCCCGTCCTTGTAGAAGATGATGCGGGTGGCCCGGACCCAGGAGAACACGGAGCACTGGAGCTGCACGGAGTCCCCTGGCCGAACGGATGTTTGACTCAGGTAGAGGATGGGGGCAGGGAGATCATCTGGCAAGAGGAAGGGGTCAGAGCTGTCAGTGGGGTGTGGGTGGTGCCTGGTGCTGTCAGTGGGGCAGGAGGTAAATGTCAGGGAGTCTGGGCCAAGTCTCAGCTGGAGGCTCTGATCTCAGCCCAGCTGGTCAGATGGGGACAAGCTCTCTCCGATGACTGGAAGCTTCATTCCCTGGGATCATTTGATTTGTGGAAGAGCCTATGGGCTGGGTGGGCTGGGCTCCCATTGTCTGGCACAGTCCTGGACCAAGGGGCCCTGCCGTGGACACCCACTGACCCAGCTGGGGCAATATGGCCAGGAGAGAGGTGACACTTCAGCAAGTCAGTCTAGTTCTGGCCAACACCTCAGTCTGCCCCACAGCCCAGGCAGTGAGAGCCAGTCACTGCCCAGGGATCCAGGCAGTGGGCAGCCAAGGGGCTGTGTCCAGTTCCTAACCTCTCCGGGATCTGCCCCAACATTCTCCTTGTTCTTGTGCCCCTCCGGCCCCCAGGTGGTACCAGGGATACCGGACGCAGGTCCAGGCCCAAGCTCAGGGAAGGTTCTGGAGCAGAAGCAGGGTTCAGATCCCCCTTTCCCAGAAATCACCAGAGTGATGGGACCCAGCTCCAAACTCCCACGGCAATTGCTGCTACCCCTGCGCTGGTCAATATTTGCCTGTTACCATCCCTGTGTCTCCTGGTGCCTTAGGCAGCAGCATCCCCTGCCCCTGCTGCCCAGGCAGCCAGCAGAGAGCCATGGTTGTGACTGAAAAGCCATGTCCCAGCTCTATCAGCCCCTGCAGCATTGGATGCAGGGTCACTAGGTGCGGCTCCCTGGCCCGGGTTGAACGGGAGCTCAGCCTGGGTGATGTAATGGTCCCTTTTGGCTGTAGCCTCTCGAAAGCCCTCGTCCTCACTCTGCCATTCACTCCCACCTCATGTCCCCATGATACTGAGCAGGGCTGAGATGATACAGTCATGCATACGCACACACACAGACCCACCCCCCTTACCGGTGACACTGAGGTGCTGGGCAGGGCTGAGCTGGGATCTGGTCACATGGTTGTCGCTGCCCTTGATCTCGTACCCACAGGAGTAATTCCCAGAGCTGCCCCTGGACACCACGTGGTCAAAGTCGTAGCTGAGTTTCCCCAGGGAGCCTGGTTGGGATGAAGCTTCCTCCCCGTCCTTGCAGAAGACGATGCGGGTGGCCTGGGCCCCAGAGACAATGGAGCACTGGAGCCGCACGGAGCCCTCCGGCCGGGCCGACGTCTGGCTCAGGTAGAGGATGGAGGCAGGGAGAGCACCTGGGAAGGGGGAGGGGTCATAGTGGTCAGTGAGGTGCTGCTGGTCCCTGGCATTGTTGCTGGGACAAAGGGGGCTGTGCCATGTCTCAGAGGGAGGCTCTGATGGCGCGGTGGGGACGAGCTCTCTCCCAGGCCCAGCGGTTTCATTCGCTGACTTCACTGGGGATGCAGAAGGATTAAAGAGCATCAGGCTGGGCTCCCATTGTCAGGGGCATCACATTGTTCTAGGACAGGGGCCCTAGCATGGGCACCCACTGACCCGGCTGGAGCAGCACAGTCTGGAGAGAGGTGACCCCTCAACCAGGGTAGTCACTGGCTATTGGAGGCTGTCTGCAGCCTAGTCAGCACCTCGGCCTGCCTCCCAGGGAGCAACCTGCGTCTATCGCACCTCTTCCAGTAGCATCACCAAAGAGTGGGGAGTGGCAGGCCCCTGCACCCCACATCTGCAGTGGGAGGAGAGTCTCAGTTGGCAGGTAGAAGAGAAGGTTCATTGGTTGACGGGACACTGCGTAGAACAGACTTGTCAGCGCAGCAGCGCAGAAGCTGTCAGGACAATCCATCCTGGGGAGGGGGTCTAGAGCCAGCGTCCTGCACCACTCCCCACAACCCCAACCAGCCCAGACTGACTCCCACACCCAGCAGCCTGGCCCACACCCCTCCCCTGGTCTTTGTTCTGCTTCTCAGGCAAAAGGTGTCACCAAGCCGCACCCCTTCGCAGCTCAGGTTACAAAGGGCACCGGCATTTGTGTAGGTGTTGGGGTTGGGGGAGCCTCCCTCAATGAGTCACCCCCCCCCAAAACTCCCATCACCGCCTAGGTATAAACTGAGGCACACACACAGGGTTACGCTAGGACAGTAGAACTCACATGCAACAGAACCAGGCAAATATAAATCCCACTTTGTCAAAAGCAGTTATCCTGGAGGAGGAGGGGTAAAGGATTTGGGCAAGCTGGGGACAGACAGACATTTGGACTCACCGGGAGCTGAGCAGATCTCCTGGCTGCTGGGGCTCAGCGCTGGGGACAGAAAGGGGACGTGGGGTCAGTGCCGGCTGGAATCTCCCTGCGGTGAGACGCCCTGAACAGCCGGTGGGGCGGGGAGTGGCCCTGCCCTGCCCCCGCTGCACTTTGCCAGCAGCCTTTGAAATGGGGCCCAGAGCGGGCGCAGAATCCAGGATCGGCCTCCCCAAGGCCTCAGGCCGGGGGAAATCTGCACCCCCCTACCCCCTCGTTACACAGCCCAGGGGCCCATCAGCCCGGCTGCCCCACGGTGCCCTGGGAGCTCTTGGCCAGTTACTGTCCCCTGGGGCCTAAATCCTTCCCCGGGTCCCTGCTTCCTCGCCCAGGCCCCAGGTTGCAGGGCAGCAGCGTTCCCTGGGGAGCTGGGACCTGGCAGGTGTCCAGTTTTGTGGGGCTCAGTTCCCCACACCAGGTTGATGGGGTTGCCAGATGTCCTGTTTTGAAACGGACAGTCCGGTATTTGAGCTTTCTGTCCAGGAAACATATAAATGTCCGGTATTTTCTAATTAACTAAGTTTTATTATTGTCATGAGTATCAGTACGTAGCTGAGTACTGCCTGGTTGGTAGACATGCTCACACTGCAGCACGCAACTATTTGCCCATGCACCCCACCAGGACCATGTGCGTGACAGGCAGCATCCCGGGATTTGCATGTGCCCAGGCCAGCCCTGCTCCCCGCCGGCTGGTTCCCCCCTTCCCCACTCCCTTCCTGACAGCCGGTTCCTTCCGCTGATCTCCCCCGTCCATACTCACTCCTCCCGACCCCCTCTCGGCCAGCCCCGCTCCCTGCCAGATGATTCCTCCTCCCCAACATGGCCAGCCCCACTCCCCAGCAGCTGTTTCCCACTTCCAAACCTGGCCACCCCAGCTCCCTCCAATGCCCTCCTGGCCAGCCCTGCTTCCTGCCAGCCATTCCCCTCCCCACCAATCTCCCCTGGCTAACCCTGCTCTACGCTCAGCCGGTCCCCACCCTCATCTGAGATCAAGTGTGTCTGTTTTTTTTTTTTTAATCATGTGGTAACCCTACAGACCCATGGAGTCAGGCCCAGCTGGGCTCAGATGCCCTTGGGAGGCTCTTGCTATTGGAGGGTGGGGGATTATTGGGGTCCAGCCCCAAGCCTCCCTGTTGTGGATGGGAGGGGCTCTTTTTTGGGCCTGTCTTTCAAATGTCCGTATCAGGTCTGGGCCGTGTCCCTCTGTCTGTCCGCAGCGCATTCCCTGCTGCAGGCTCTGCTGAAGAGGTGAGGGGCTGAGCTCGGCTGACAGCGCCGGGGATGAAGGTCGCTGCTGCGGGGCTGTGAGCAGAGCCCTGGGAAGAGATGCTCAGGGCTGATCCCCTGGTTCATGGGAACCCTCTAGGCTTCCCTGATGGGAGTCACTGGCCCAGGGGGAACCCAAGGGTCGGGGCTCTACAGAGAACCTGGGCCAGCTGCATGGAGCAGGAAGGATTCCCTGGTTGGAGGGGTGGGGCTGGAACTGGGGTGAGTGCAGGGAGCTAGGGGAAGGTCTCTGCTCTGGGCTGTCATGGGGTGAGCCTGGAAGGGTGAAGGGTTTGGGACAGTCCCATTCCATCCAGATGCACAACAGTGCGGCCCCCTCTGCCGGTAGAGGGAATTTTCCTACTCCCTGGGCCAGGGGCTGCTTTCTGTTCTGTTTCCTCCCAGCCCCCTATGACTTAGCCCAGCGTTCCCAGACACTCACCGAACAGCAAGAGGAACAGAGACAGGAGCATCGGGGCTGTGGCAGGAACCGAGAGGGCTGGAAATGGCCCAGCGACGTCGGCTTCTGGCGGGGCTTGGAAGGGACAATCTGCAGTCGCTGTCTGCTCCGACCTGCCCCCTCGACCCCTCTGGGCTCACGACAGAAAACCCCCCTCCCCACACGGAGTCTCTGCCAGCCCCTCAGGGCTGGGCTGTGAATCCAGACACAAGCGCTGCTCTGAGTCCTTGTCAGAGCGTACGGCTGAGGCATCAGGGACGCCGCATCCCCTCTGCTCTGCCCTGTCCCGTCCTCGTGTCTGATGGTCACTGCTGCCTGTTTCCTGTCCCATACACACCCCGCCACCAACAGCGTCTTTATTTAGGGCCGGAAGCCAGAGAATCAAACACGCGACAAATGTGTTTGTGAAAACCCCTCTCCTGATTTAGTAACTGAACTCAGCCAAACCCACCCTGTGAGGCACAGGCCTGGCTGGGGGGTTTAACATTAACCAGACCGAGCTCATGCATACAGCTCCAAGTGTTGAGTGCACGGAGAAGGTGCTGCCCTTTCCCAACTGCTCTTTCCAATCCGGGGCCAGATTCAGGAGCCCCGCGATACAGGCGAGCACCTCGTGATGTGCCTGATTCCCATTGGCTGTCAAGTCAATGCAGAGTGGGTCCAGGCAGCCCCCAAACCTGCCCTGGTGTGTGAGCCGGGCCCTGCCCGGGAGCTGAGCAGACACTGCTGGGCTGGAGGCTGTGTCCGTGTGTTACTAGAGGAGCTCTCAGCCGTCCCCTCAGGTTCACAGGGTGCTGAATCTGGGGATGTGGCACCGTTCATCCCCCCCTGCTGCTCCCTCCTGAGCCAGTCCCCACCTGAGCATCCCCCTGGGCGACAGGCTCTGAGCTCCAGGGATTCACTGCAAGCTCCCACCTCCCCTGACCCATCTTCATCATGTCCCTCCCCCCTCCAATGCTGGGAACAGGCTGGGCCTTGGGGGGCCTGGTCCTTGCTTATGCCCCACAAGTCTCAGTGAGAAGCAGGCCCCAATGTCTAGGTGGGCTGGTGATTCACCCTGGGACAAACCACCCATGGCAGGGGGGATTCTCCAAAGTCTAACTGTGTCAGAGCCAGGCTGGAGGCCTTCCAGGGAACAGCTTGCACCTCACGGCCTGCGATAAACCTACAACCAGGCCCTAGGCATTCAATGCAGCACCCCCAGCAGTAAGGCCAAACACAACGCACAGGGACCCTGGGGTCTCACATTACAGCCTCACACCAGCCACAGGCTAGAGACTTACATTTTATTTGTTGTCACCCAAAGCTGAGATTCTCCCCCAATCCCAGTGCCCCAGGAGCTTTAGGGGAACAGTGAATACCATCAGCGCCAACTCCATGGTTGCTCCAGGGCTCAAATACCCACAGAAAAAATAGTGGGTGCTTAGTACCCCGGGGTCAGAGTTTGAGTGTGCAATGTGACGAGTTTGATGCTGGTAACAACTTCTGCCCTTGGGGGCGGGAGCTGGTTTATAAACAGAGCCAGACGGAGTAAGATAACAAACAGCTTGTCATTAGAGAAATATTGTTAGATGGTCCTGAAAGCATTCCAAAAGATAAGAAACAACGGGTAGGAATAAATGGGTCCATATTCATAATGGAGAGGATTGGTGTCCCTGAGGGACCTGTATTGGTTCAGGATCAAGATATTCATAAGTGATTTGCAAAAAGGGGTGTGCAGTGAGGTGGCAAAGTTTGTAAATCATACAAAATTACTGAAGATAGTTAAATCCAAAGCTGGCTGCACAGGTTTAGAAAAACATAAGAACATGAAAACGGCCAGACTGGGTCAGACCAAAAGTCCATCTAGCCCAGTGTCCTGTCTGCTGACAGTGGTCGATGCCAGGTGCCCCAGAAGGAGGGATCACAACCAGTAAGCCTCACATGATCCCTCTCCTTTTTTCCATTTCCAGAGGAACAGAGGCTAGGGACACCATTCCTACCTGTCCTGGCTAACAGCCATTGATGGACCTAACCTCCATGAATCTACCTAGCTCTTTTCTGAACCCTCTTAAAGTCCTAGTCTTCACCACATCCTCTAGCAGGGAGTTCCACAGGTTGACTGGGTGACTTGGCAACAAAACAGCAGATGAAATTCAATGTTAAATGCAAAGTAAAGCCCATGACAAAATAGAATCCCAGTTACGCATACAAAATGCACACTGAGCCCAGCCAGTCCTGTGAGAGCCCTGGGGAGGGCTCAGGGGTTGTGGGGGCGGATTCAGTCCTTGGAGTGTTATCACAGTCCAGTCTGATGCACAAAGGGCCTGATCCTGTTACCCACTCGCACGGCCTTTCCCTGGCAGAAGCAGCATGTGTGTCCGCAATGGGAGTGAGTCAAGGCCACTGCGAGACCCTTCCCCTTTGCATCCCCCAACGTATGGAATTTCCTACATTGAACAGCCACCTTAAAGCAGTTCTCCCCAATCAGCACAATCCTACGTAACTGGGGATCAGTTCAAAGTGTGCTCGTGAATCGCTGCAGTTTTCCACTGAGTTCAGAGAGGAGGAAAAATGTCTCCATCTCCCTCTTTGCATTTTGACCCGATTCCCCCAACGTATTTCCTGCTCCTCCTGGGATTCCTGGAACCAGCGTCCACTCCAGAGACCCCTGAGGGGTCTAGCTCTCGTGATGCCCTTTGCCTACAGAGAGGTGCTCAGTGGGGGTTGTGTCAGATGCTGGATTTGTGTTTCCTTGTCGTCTGGCTGGGGCGTGTTTCCAGTTGTGGCTGCTCCTGCTCTGTTTTATGTCCCTTCCTCTCTGTGGGAGCAGGCTCGTGGGCAGGAGCTTTCGGAAGTTTTCTCTCACATATATCCTGCACTGTTTTCCGTCATGTCCTCCTCTCCAGGCAGGGAGCTGTCCAGGAGCTGGGGCCATATCTCCTGTTGCACTTGGCCCTGTGTCATTTCCTGAAACTCCCTGAACAAACACCCCCACTAACTATTAATGTCTGGGGGAAATCCCAGTCGCTGGGGGGGCAGATGCTGAGGGGTTTCCCCTGCTCCTGCCCCACAGCGAGATCAGGGCTGAGGAACGGGAACAGTCTCTCAGAAACTCCCACAGGAAGCTCCAGAATCAGGGCCATTGAATTGACACTGTAAAATGAGAGATTCCCCTCTTCTAGATCCAGAAACACCCCAACCACTGTCGGCTTCACAGCCCAGCTCTGGATCACAGTGTCAGCCTCGCTGGGGTGATACCGCCCCTCTGATCTCCTCAGAGCCAAGCACCCCTCCTCAGGGAAACTCTCCAGCCCCTCCTGTCTCACTTTATCCCTCACAGTTGCACTCAGCACCCCCAGCTCCCAGTACAGGCTGTCCTCCACCTGCACCTCCCAGTACCACTTGCAAACCTGACTCTCCCCACCATGATCCCTTCTGGGCACAAATCCCTCCCTCCCCACAGTGATCAGGATGCCCGAGGTAGCCAGCCCTGAGGGAGGTGGTTTGTGCCAAACTCTTCTGCCATCCTCAGAAACTTTGAGTTCAGGGTGTTTGTGGCTCGTATCCAGGGTGACGGGAACTGGGGAGAGAAGCCAAAATGCCCCCATTAGCCACGTGTCAGCGAGGGACCCCACGATGCCTCAGGAGACGATCCAGGAGGGGAGGGGAGAGCTCGGTGCTTCCAGTTACTGCCTGCTCCCTGAGCCACCCAGCCCCGGCCCCTGGTCTCTGCCCCACTGTGACGTGGGGAGGAGGGAAATGGGGTTTTCCTGCCTCTGGCTCTTGGGATGTCCTGTCCCAGTGCACAGAGCCAGCCAGACTCATCCCTGGGGTGTCTCCATTGGCTCTGGGGGAACTGGAGCAGGGATGAATTTGGCCCCGTGTCTCACTCCACAGCCCTGTGTCCCCTAGTTCCCAAGTTGCCTGCTCTGCAGGGCTGTGACCCCTGGGGCCAATTCCCTGGGTGTGGAGCGGGCACAAGTCTCAGCTCACAATGGGTGTGTGGTGGCTGCTCAGGGCTTTGCCTTGGAAAATGGGGCTTGGTGGGAGATGTCCAGCCCTGTGGGTGAAGGGGGAGGGGCAGGGTAATGAGAAGAGATGGAGTCAGGCTGAGGGGGCAGGGGAAGGTCAGAGAAGGGCCAGACTCTGGCATTAGGTACTGGGGTGGCTACTGGGACCAGCCCCGATATCCTGGACCAGGTGTGGGCTCCAGGGAGTTTCAGGGCTGTGACTGGGCCTGGCCCTAAGCTAGAGGGGACATGTGGGGAGCTGGAAGAGGGGATTGGGCTCCTTGTAGCCTCTCACTGCCCCCCACCCCTCAGGATCTGTGCCTGAGAGATATTAAGGCTGCCAGAGGCCATGCAGGGTGCCCAGGGGCTGAAGACTCTGCAGGCTGGAGGGGGTGGGGGGCTGAATGGGGCTGTCTAGGCAGATGATGGGGTGGGAATTGCTGAAAGGCCAATAGGAGATGGGGGTGGGGTCAGGACTCACTGAGGGGGAATTGTAAAGGACCTGTCCTGGGGTGAGACTTGCAACTCAAGGCAGCGTGTTCAGGACCATTTGCAGCATCTAACCCCATGTCTCTGTGCACACCTGGCCTCGCCTGCCCCCAGACCTCTGACAGCCCAGCTATGTAACCTCGATGCCACCAACACCAGCGTGGCCTCTGCTCAGCCCCACTCACCCATGTAGCTCCGAGCTCGTCTGAAACCTGCAAAGGAAGAGGAACAAGCATAATCGGGGGCCCAGCAAATACGGGGAACCCACTCGCACAGGAGCGGCCGTTCTGGGAGAGGGGTCAGAAAGGAACCGAGCGATGTGACATGAAAATGTGTCCCCTCACCTAGCTCTGTCAGCGCCCTGTCTGGAACGGAAAGAGACGGCGTTAGTCCCTGTCAGTGAGGCAGAGGGCCAGAGGGCTCAGTTCTGGGGCTGCTTTGTGACCACGTGATCACTTTACCTGTGGTTCATGGGCCCTCCCTACCAAAGGAGAAATGTCCCGGCTGTGCAGTGAGAGACAGGCCCTTTCGCTCAGAGACCTCTGCTCACAGCAATGACCGGCTCTCAGGGATGCCTTTGCACTGTCCATTATTGCACTGGGACTGGACCGAATGTTGCCCTCGGTGATGCTTGCGTGAGGCTGGAGTGAACCTGGATTTACTGATGTCACCCAGATCAGAATTCAGCCCTGTAAGAAGCTGCCGTTTGTCTGTGGTGGTGCCCAGCAGACTGGAATATTTTAAGGGACACTGGTAGGATCCAAATCAGCCTGGAATTTGCAAAGCACCCAACCTTGTTGGGAGACGTGTGACTGGATCTACACAGCTCTGACGTTCTTAACTCTGCTGTCCAAGGGGATTGACGCATAACGCTTCAGAGCATCAAAGCTACCCACTGCAGGTGTAACTAGGGGGTAGCTCCCAGTGCAACCGTGGGACTGGGGCAATGTGACTGATTTTGGCCAAACTCTTCACTCAGCCCTGCCCTATGCTGTTGGCATTTCTGGATCTGCTCAGTGCCATGTGTGTCTGGGAGCCACTGCCAGGAGCTCTGCTGGGGCAGTGGATGATCTTACCATGACTGTCGCGAAAATCCTGGCCCTCTGGGGAGAGAAGAAAAGAAAACCATCGTGATTTCAGCCTGGGTCATTCTGGACACAGCGCCACGGGGCCCTTCCAATCTTTGTGCATGCCTGTGCTACAGCTGGCAGGGATGAGGTTTCCAGTAGCTCTGCTTGAGTTTGTGTGTGAAAAGTAGCAGGGTAGCCCGGGATAGCAGGTGCAGGGACTTGACTTAGTTGCACAAGTACAAATCCGCTTAGATTCCCCAGATACCTCCCCTGGCCCACTGCCCCACCATTCCAGCCATACTGCTGCTGCTAGCACACTAACTCACCTAAGCTGAGAAGCTTGCTTAAAGCGACAATGTAGACATCCCCAATGAGCCATGGGTGTCAGAACTGACAGGGCACATCAGCTACAACTATTGTTTAATGAACAACAGACACATTCCCACATCAGCCCTGCATCCTCCCACCCAATGGCACTGCTGGGATTGAGGGGAAGGAGTGTGACAGCAGAAAACGTGTCACATTAGAGAAGCCCTGCTGCAGCCTGTCACCCAACCTCCGACTTCCTGTTTCTATGCTGTGTGGCGCTGACCAGAAAAAGTGTGTAACCCTTTGGGTCATGGCAGGCAAGTGCAAAGCTGGAGAATGGATTCATGGGGTTGGGTGGCCCTGGATTTACTGAACACCCCTCGAGCCATGGGGTTAGATTCTGTCTCATGTCCTAGTGGAACTCAGCCCAGTGTATGGAATCCATCCATGCATGGCACAGGCCTAGACTACCATGGAAGGGGAAGAAGGCAGGTCGGAGGAAACCAGAGCTGGGATAACAGGGAGGTTGTAGGTGAAGGACTCAGAGCCACCAGTAGTGTGGTCAGGAGGTCAGGCTGGGGTAGCAGGGAAGCAGTGGGTGGGGACTGTAGGAACCAGCAAAGCTGTCTGAGTGCAGGGAGCCCAGCGGGTCAGAACTGAGATAAACCCAGAGATGCTTAAGTTATGCTTAAGTTTGCCCAGCCCTTCACTAAAAGTTTGTCTGTGCAGGCCCATAGTTAAGTCTTTGGAGTGTGATTTGCAGCACACACCAAGGTGCTGCCCTGGGGCAGTCCCATAGGGTATGTCTACACTGTCACCCTAGTTCGAACTAGGGTGGCTAGTGTAGACATACCCCCATTGATGCTGCTGGTGTTCATTACACAGTACCTAGTTCACACTGATACAGTCCTTTCCAATATTTGAATAGTAAAGTGAATGAGGAACCTTTTCATCCATACCCACATGGGATTTTCTAGGGCAGCACTTTTTTGCACATTCCTATTACATCCCTGTAATCTGAATTTTTGGGCAATATATACCTAGCCTGTGCCCTGCCAGTCCCCAAGCAGAAAATTCACTCTCTGTTGCTAAGTATGGCATTGAAATATGAGCTACAAAGACTGCAGGGTTTGCTTATTTCCAGGCAATGGGGAGATGATGGTGAACGTAACTAAGGTCTGCACAGAGCCTGTGCTGATTTTTCTGTCTCATTGTAGTGTGAAAGCCCAGACACACATTTACTAGAGGTTTTCCCAAGTACCTGTTTCCAAGATCTTCTTCTCATTCTCTGCAACAGGGAAGAGAAAAGTGTTAGACACAGACACATACTCTGTGTGGTGCTTCACACTCCCTAACAAATGGAGTTAGTCACAGGCATCCCAGGCACACTCTCCACCCCAGTGCAGGACCCAGCAGGTTTGTTAGGGGCAGGGCTGGGATTTAGTGACATGCACCAACATGCAGGAGACCTAGTGAGTTTTTCACTCCTTTGCCCTTGTTACATTTGCAGCCGTTTAGCTACTTAAATTACATATCACATCTTGAGTTAAACAGGGCTGTGCATTACACAGGCTTTTGGCTGGTGCAGCTGGGCTAGAAGCCCCCCCCCAGCCTGGCTAGTTACAGCACAGCACTGATTGCTAAGGGTGCCCCATACAGCACTCCCCAACTACCAGAATAATGGCCACAAGGGAGCAGGACAGAGGACAAAGGCGATGAAAGGGGGTATCCTCCTGCTTTTCTGGTTCATCCTTCTTGTGTGAGTCCTAGTCTCCATGCTTGCATGTTGTATCCATTTTCTCTGCCTTTCGTCTGAGTTCCCCTGCATATGTGTGTGCAGTGCCCAGAGAAACAGTCCAGCACCACTGAGCACCATCACAATGCAAAGCTGTCCTGTTAACTATAGAAATGTTCAAAGTGGATTCAGTTAAATGTGTGGACTTAAAAACCGCTACTGGTGTGTTGATTAGCACAGCCCAAGAGAGTGAAGTCACGAATTCATAGTTTCAGGTCAAGCAGAACAATTATTAGATCATCTGCTTTGACCTTCTGTACAGCAGAGGTCAAAGGATCTCACTCTGTTCCCTTGCACTGAGACAGGTAACTCAGGCTGGGCTGCAGCATCTCCCAGAAAGGTGCCTAGTCTGGATCTGACTCCATCAGGAGATGGAGAATTCACCCTGGCCCTGGGAGCTTGTGCCAGTGGCTAGTCACCGCTTGTGCCCTGGGCATTTGACAGTCACAGGGATGGAATCAGCTCACAGAATGACACTGGACTTGCCTTGGTGTTATCTTTAAGGAAATAGAGCTACTGAGCAATTGCCTACAGCTAGTGGGACAGAATCTAACTCAGGCTATGTCTAGACTGCAGGCTTCTTTCGAAAGAGGCTCTTTCGAAAGCATCTTTCGAAAGAGCCTCTTTCGAAAGATCGCGTCTAGACTGCAGGCGGATCTTTTGAAAGAGAAATCCGCTTTTTCGAAAGAGAGCACCCAGCGAGTCTGGATGCTCTCTTTCGAAGACGGCCTCTTTACATTGAAGAACGCCTTCTTTCGAAAGAGGAACTTTCGAAAGAAGGCGTTCTTCCTCGTGAAATGAGGTTTACCGCCATCGAAAGAAAAGCCGCGTTCTTTCGAAATAATTTCGAAAGAACGCGGCTTGAGTCTGGACGCAGGGGAAGTTTTTTCGGGAAAAGGCTACTTTTCCCGAAAAAAACCCTGAGTCTGGACACGGCCTCAGAGTGGTCACTGCCAGACCACCTGCCTGCTGCACCCACATGCAGGGATTCTCAGAAACACAAACCTTTGGGTTTCTGCTGCAAAATGCATGTGCCAACCTGTCGATATCAGAGTGTCGGGGAGGCAGGGGATCAGTAGGCAGAGACCTCTTGGTTCCATCCCCTTCTTTGCCCTGAGCCCACAGATACACCAAGCAGGCACAGAGCTCACACTTCTCAACAGACAGGGCAAGAGACAGAGCAGGAGACCTACCAAGAGTTAACAGAGTCTCCTTTTCAGCATGTTTCTTCTGAGAGGCCTTTCGCTTCACTGTGAGACAGAATCAGACATTGCCGTGAGACCAGGAAGGAAGGGGACACACGGAGAAATTCATTAATATAGGTGGGGCCAGGACCCTAATGGGTTTGTTAATTTGTTTACTTCCTAAAGCCAACACAAGGTAAATATCTGGACACTCCCATATCCAAGCCCAGTGCCCTCTATGGCCCAACTTTAAATATGCAAATGATTCTGTCCGATTACCTGTGTATCCAAGATATGCACAAGCTCCAGCAGCAATGAGAACCAGAACAAACAGTGCCCAGAATGCAGCCAACCAGGGAGACACCCGGGGGAAGACGTCACCTGGCAAAGAGAAAGCGCAGGATGTGAGGAGAACAGGCCCATCCTGGAACTGGAGAACGGGGTTTACTACTTGGGACGTCAGAAATTCATGGGAATGAAGGAACCATCCATTGAATCAGCCACAAATGGGAGCCATTGAAACCAGAGAAGCCGGCACAGCATCGGTCCCAAGAGCCAGGACTCTGCCCTGCCCAAATCTCTCTTGCTGCTGCGAACCACCAGCCAGATTGTTATGAGTTTGTGTATTCATGAGTTTGTAGAACCCAGGTCAGAGACCCTACATCCAGCCCAGAACTTCTCTTCCAACCAGAGAGGGTCTTACAGAAAGATTTCTAGTTTGGGCTGAAAAACCCCAAGTGATGGAGAATCCATCACGTCCCCAGGTCAGTTGTTCCAACAGTTACCTTCCCTCACTGTTAAAATCTGCTCTGTATTTCTAGTCTGAATTTGTCCAGCTTCAACTTCCAGCCACCAGCTTTTGTTCTGTCTTTGTCTGCCAGATTGTAGACCCTAGCCACTGTCAGAAATCTATTGGCTCGTATGGGTGCTTATGGACCATGATCAAGTCACCATTTAACTTTCCCTTGGACAATCTCTATAACTTAAGCTCTTACATGTCTAACTGGGAGGCAGGTTTCCAGACTTCTAAATGTTCCTGCAGCTATTTTCTGAGAACTCTCTTATTTGTCAGCAACCTGTCTGAATGTGTGGACACCAGAACAGGAAATAGTATGTAGAAGTATTCTCGCTAACACCATGCACAGAGGTGATGCCACATCTCTCCTGCTAGATATTCTCATATTCGCACACAAGGGTTATGTTCATTGCTCTGGGAGTCTCATACTCAAGTGTTTTCCAGAGTCACTGCTTTCCAGGATACAGCCTCCCAACTTGTAAGTGTGACCTACACACTTTGCTCATAGTGTGTGTCCTGGCATTTGGCCACATTGAAATGCATGTGTGACAAAGTAGGGATTTTGCTGGGGCCATAGCATGCTAGCATGTTCTTAGAGTGAGCTCACCTTACAAAGAATTCCAGGTCCATCTGTAGGACTGACCTGTCCTCACCATTATTTAATTCGCCATCTGTTTTGGGGGCATCTGCAAATTTTATCATCAATCAATTTATATTTCCTTCCTGCTCTTTGATAAAATTATTGAATAACATTGGCCCAGAATAGGGCATTGTGGGTCCCCACTAGAAATGTTTCCATTGGGCAGGTAAGCTCATCTCTGAGTCTGTGTCATTCTGCAGCTGGGTGTGGCCCTGCCTGAGTGTGTGCTAGTGGAAGCTAAAGGGTAAACAAGATGAGTAAAAAGGAGTCACAGACTGACAAAACAGTTGGGCTCAGTGGTTTCTCAGCATATCAGGTGGCTTCTTAAAGTGCACTAATCCATCACACACCAGCAGGTACACAGACAAATTCTGTCAATCTAACTACTGCTTCTCAAACAGGCGGATTTACAACAACCACAGAAGACTCCCTTCTTTCTTTGCAATACATCTTTACACTGGAGTGCCCCTGCTGTGGTGTTTCTAGTGTAGACTCATTCTGAGTCTGTTTCTCCAGCACAGTTACCTTTATTAACCCAATGTACCTAGTACCATGCTTTGACGACAATAAATCTGGCTGAGGCCTTCTCCATGAAGCTGAGCCTGTGATCTTTCTTATGAATAATATTGAAGTCTGCTGAATTAATGTGCTGCTCCAAGAGCCTCCATGGTACTTCAATAACAGCAACACTCACAGCAGTAACAACTTAGCAGCCTTAACAACTCTGACTAGAACTAGCAACACATTCTACACAGGTGGCAGGGAGGGAACTCACTGGAGAGGTGAATGGCCGATTGTCGCTCCATCTCCAGCAGGCTATTCCGCACGATGCAGCTGATGTCTCTGTTGTCTTCTTCAGTGACGGTGACGTGACTCACAACACTGTACAGGTTCTCCTTGCCCTGAGTCACGTCGGTCACAGTCTCTGTCGACAGATTCTGTTGATTCTTGCCAACCCACTGTAGTTCGGGTTTGGGGAACCAGCCTGTGGACCTACAGGCCAGACTGATCCCACTGCTTCGGGGGCCCAGTACGTCAATGAACACCGGAGCCACAGCTGCAGGGAGAGACAGAGTGTGTGTATGTCAGGGAATCGTGTCTTTGATAGCACCATGGGATTCACCAGAAATGTCTAGGTATAGGAGACTCTGACTGGAAATCTCCATTCTCTTGTGCAGCCTCCCCGCAATCCCTCATCCAGTTGACTGGGGAAATTAAAGAAGAACAGATTGTGGTTTCACAGGGCACTTCGCCCTGAAGACTCACAGCAGAAGGCATAAACTGCTACTCTGAGATTGCGGCATCTGATGATGAAATGCACCCACTTCTGGGGTGGAGCCCAGCAACTGGCAGGATCACTGCCCTTCAGTACAGAGCTCATGGTGAGGGATGGTGACTCACCTACATCTTTGCTTCCACTCCTCCTGTGCCACATTCATAAATATTGTCCCCTCTGGTGTCCTTCTCCCACACTGGTAATGGTGCCCCCGTTCATGCCACCCTCATGCTTGGATTTCTCTCTCCCTGTGCAACACACAAACACCCTCCCCTCATTTGAGCACCTGTCTCTTGTGGAGCCTTTGGACTAGGAGCCACCAAACCCGAGAGATGATTTCAAACAACCTCGGGGCTCTGTGTTATCATGGAGGAGGGGGGCCCTCACTTGGGATGTGTCTGAACTGTATTGTCTGGAGCTAGGTTACTTCCACCATCCTTTCCACTGCCCCTGGGCTGGGGGCTTAGCACCCCGGCAATAAAATGCAATATCCCAGCCCTTCAACATCGCAGAGGGTGTTTCACAGAAGCCAAATATCCTTGTTGCTAGAGCTGGGATTTGAGCAGACCATGGGGGTAAAGGTCCATGGACTCGGTGAAGTTGCTGCTAGTGTTGCCAAACCATAGGAACTCCTAAGAAGCACCAGACATTGGGTATTTACATTCCAGAAGCTGGTACGGATACGGTCTAGCACAAGATCAGATGGTTGGACAGAAGAGTGACTAGGGATGTTGTGTCTGAAGCAGGAACAAGGAGAGGTAACAAACAGAGGCCACGTCAGGTGGTAAGTAAGTTGTTTCAGTCTATACATGTCAGGGTACCTCAACTTAACCCTTAGTGTGGCCGAGGGGACAGAAGAGACTCTTGCCACTAGGCACTCTCGTGTTGGTGCAACATTTCTCAAACCAGGGTCCATGAGGGTTCTCCAGGGCGTATGTCAGCCCCACTGATCAACTCTTCCCCCTCTCCTTCCCTCTCGGTGCCTCCTACACACCATGGAACAGCTGTTCCCCAGTGTGCAGGAGGCTGTGAGGGAGGGAATATCAGGGATGGGGCACACTAGAGGGAGGGGATGGAAAGAGATGGGGCAGGAAAAGGGGGTGGGGTGGAGCCTTGGGGGAAGGAGTGGATGGGGGTGGGGCCTGAAGCCAATTGGGAAGGGGCTTTGGGGTCCACAAAAGATTTTAAATCAAAATTGTGGTCCTCGGGTCGCTAAAGTTTGAGATCTGCTGTATTAGTGAGCCTGCAACTATGGGCCCAGGGTGCTAGGATGTCCCTTGAGGGCAATAAATCTGGCCAAGTGGCATTGTCATGAAACCCTGCCTGTGGTCTCTCTTTGTGAGTAGCAGTGAGGTCTGCTGAGTTAGCAGGCTGCAGTATCTCCTAGTACTGGTGCCACTGGAGCTCCAAGAACAGAACCAAAGAGCAGCCTGGACAGTTGCAGAGGCAACAACTTTCAAACTATCTACGCCTACTAGTCCTGAGCCTCACCTGCGACCCGTAGCTCTGTGGTGGCATCCAGGCTCCACTCCAGGCTCCTGGCAAAGCACCGGTACTGCCCATCATCCGCCACTTGGAGCCGTTTCAGCTTCAGGGAGATGTTCCCCCTGTGGAACTCCGACAGGAAAAGCTCTGTCCGGGTCTGGTAACCCTGCCCCGGCAGCTCCTGGGTACCTTCCTTCAGGTACTCATGAACCACGATAAATTCTGGGTCAATTTTCCTCCATTGCACATCCATGCTGGGCAGCCCGGCATGGGGTGAGAGCTGGCAGGGTAACACCACATCCTGGCCAATAAACCCCATCACAGGGTGCCGGGAGCCAGCCAGGGAGACTTTCTCTGGAACAGACAAAGCCAGGAACACACTGAGTGAGAGGAAAGGCCCAGCGGTTACACACACACAGTGAGTGACAGGAGAGGGCATTGCTAAGCACAGCAAAATTCCCTCAGTCACAAATAGCTCATGGCAGAAGGTTCCCAAGTCTAAGCCATGTAGCTCAATAGAGTTACTCTCAGGGTGGATGAAAGGATGTGCAGCCACCCACAGCTGACACAAGCTGGTCCTCTAACGGTGCCTCTCTGGCCCCCTACCTACACTCTATTTGCAAAAGGTGGCCCCAGCTGGAAGCCACCTGCCAGTTCATAGAGCCCTGCCTGCCCCACGGCACCCAGTTAGGAACTATTTCCGCTGCAAGCAATTTCCTTGATAAACCAGTTTCAGGTCCACTTAGTCCCACAATAGCCACTGAGAGGCCACCTCAGAGGGCTTCTGCCTGGCCTGAGGACGTTGAGTCTTTGATGGGCCTTTGGGCCAAGGCATGTCCCTCCCGTGGACTCAACATCCCAACCAGAACCTGGCTAAGAGGGGCAGACAATGTTCTGCGGATCTGTATCTGGAAAAAATGAAGCATCTTAGGGTGATTTATGTCTGCACAACAGCTGCATGTCGGAAGGGTCTCCAGGCTTTTCCATCCCACCATGGGGTAAGCATTGTTTATATATTTATTTAAAATAGTTTAAAACCCCCCCCCCCATTTAAAATATTTGAGGTGGCTTACAACATTTTAAAAACACAAAATATACATGTATATAGCAAGAGTAAAATACAAGACCTCAAAGAGGAGACACAAAACCTGTTAAGACACCTCAAGAGGCGACACACACACACACACACACACACACACACACACGAACAATCAGTGCCCAGCTGCAGCCTCTGACACTCACTGTCTGGCTTCAGCTGGAGAGGAATAAGAGGGAGATGTACAAAGCCAGCGAGGAGACCTTGAAAGCTGTGTTGCCAGCTCAAAGCTGTCCCATCCAGAGGACGGGCTGGGGCAAGCACCCAAGGCCCTGCTCTTTGGGGAAGGCTGGGGGATTAGTGGGGACAGCAGGGAGCCACCGGGTACCAGCTTGTCCCGCTCTGCTCTATCCAAACCCAACAGCTCCCAATGTCGCTTGGGAGAGGGAGCAGAAGCCAAAAAGAAGTGGGGTCTGGAAAGGGATGGAATGGGAGGAGAGGTGGGGACAGGGACTTGGGGAAGGTGTGCAATGGGGGAAGGACCTGGGAAAAGGCAGGTGTTGTCCCAGACCCCACACACCTACTGGGGTGGCCCTGTCTGTGTTACTAAGAGTTTTTCAGAAAGCCCCAGCTCCTGGAGGCATGTGATTATGCACCAGTCTAGCTCTTAGGGCTGCAGAGAAAAGCCGGGAAATAAGAACATAAGGCTCAAAAAAAAGCTAAAAGAAAAAAAAGGATTTTTTTTTTTTAAAAATTTGCTGATCTGATTTTTGAGGCCAGCCTCATGCTGCTGGAAAGCTCAGGGTTGGGGATGCTGCAGCTCCCATCCATCCCAATGGGATCGGGGCACCCACATTTCTCAGGAAGCTGGGAAGATCTCAGTCCTGCAGGCTATGAGAATCCAGGTCCTGGGCGTGGGGGTCAGTTCTAGCAGTGCGGGGCCTTTGGGTGCCATGGCAGGACAGGAAGGAGTCAGTACCGGAGGCTCTGGGAGACTCTCCCAGGGGCAGCAGGAGTTGGGTTACTTGCTGCGAGATCCCCAAATCCTGACACCCAGAGCTAGGACACGCCCTGGTCACCCTAACACCATCCCTGCCCCTCAGTTGCAGGGCCTGGCCCCCTTTACTCTGCAGAGGTGAAGAGACTGGATACAGGGGAGCTTGTTGGGCCCCAGTTCCCCCTTCTCCACCCGGCAGGGGACAGGGAGAGACATAATGGGGATTCAAATGTTACCAGCGAGAGCACACAGCACCAGGAGGAGGAGCCCCAGGCTGCACACACAGAGCTGCCATCGCGTTGCCATGGGAACACCCGGGGCAGGGACCTGTCAGGAGAAAGCAGGGATGGTTAACACCCCCCAGCCTGCGTGAGGGGCTGGCAGTGCAGGGAACACGCCCCACCCATCATCTAACCCGACCCCCTCTGCTCCCAGGCAGAGCATCTCCCCAGTACCCCAGCGCCATTCTTGCAGAAACCTTCCCCTGATCAGGTTTCACGCTGCCATTGCGAAGAGCATCTCCAGCAAAAGTCAGTTCTGCAACCCTGACAACATCTTTCTCCCTCTTTCGTTCCCATTTGGCAGCTCCAATTGCATCCAGGCCTCTGCAAAGTGGGATGCCAGATGATGATGTCCATTGAGTTGCTAGCACAGTTAGTGTGTTCCCAGATCATACTGTGGCTTTGCGGCACAGGTCTGGAGCCGATGACATGACAGGAGGAGCCTCTGTAAATTAGGGTACGTCTACACTACAGCGCTAATTCAAACTAACTTAGTTCTAATTAAGTAATTCGAACTAAGCTAATTCGAACTCGTGCATCTAGACCTAAAAACTAGCTCGAATTAGCATTTTGCTAATTCAAAATAGCAGGTCCACATTAAGTGGACCCTGAACTGGGGTTAAGGATGGCCGGAAGTAGTGCCGGCAGGGCATCAAATGAGGACTCAGAGCGTGGAGCTGCTGCCTCAGGCTAGCCGAGGGCTGTGCTTAAAGGGACCCGACCCCCACCCCGGACAGACAGTTCTCAGGGGTGCCCTGCTTGCAAAGCAGTCCTGGCTTGGAGTGCCCTGAGTGCCCACACTGGGCAAATCACAGCACTCGGCCATCAGACCGGCTGCACTTGCTGCAGGCTGCCATCTGGGGAGAGGGCGCAATTGGGGGGCTGCAGGAGAGCTTCCACCCCCAGAAGCCCCCAGTTCTCCCCATCGGGGGCTCGTACCCCATTCCTCCCTCACCTCCTTCCACTTACCCTTCCCTAGCCCCCCTTCCTGATGTACAAAATAAAGGACACGTGTGGTCAAAAATAGAATCTCTCTTTATTGAACAAAACTCGGGGAGACTGGGAAAAGGAGGTGGGAGAGGGGAAGAGAGAGGGTGGGAGAGGGGAGGGCAACTAAAATGATCAGAGGTTTGGAATAGGTCCCATATGAAGAGAAGCTAAAGAGACTGGGACTTTTCAGTTTAGAAAAGAGGAGACTGAGGGGGGATAGGATAGAGGTCTATAAAAGCATGAGTGGGGTGGAGACGGTGCATCAAGAAAAGTTCTTCATTAGTTCCCATAATAGAAGGACTAGAGGACACCAAAGGAAAGGAATGGGTAGCAGGCTTCAAACTAGTAACAGAAAGTT